TGGGTGTTTGCAGCTGTTTCTTCCCATCTTGGGACATGCTGCATCAGCAGATGGAGGTCCCAAAAGTTTTACTCTCTACATCATTAAGGTCGGCTCTGCTCTGCAGAGACAGCTCTTCTTCACCCGTATTTTGAGCACCTTCTGAGCTGAGGGCTCATGGTCCGGCACTATGTTGGACAGTGTTTCAGGGCTATTCATAAAGTTTTCCGGCAATATATCAGACAGTGTTTCACTGCTGTTTATAAGGTGTTCATTGGTCAGTTGTTTGAGAAGTGGATGGCCCCTTCCTTCTTCTGAGTCTGTCCTAGTCTGGAAGGTCTGCTGTATTAGTTGGGGTTCTCCAGAGAAACAAAACCAATAAGATGGAAATATGGATATATAAGTATCTGTCTTTAGTGGACATTTTGATAAAAGATTCTATAAAAGCATCTTGATCAAAAGAGGGAAAATGCAGAACAGAATTTCAAATGCTCATGGAATTCAGACTTCTGAAGTCATGGAGGCTGAATGAACCCCTGAAACTATTGGCCTAAAATAGTTTAAACCCAAAATCTTTAAATCTTAAACCAAAAATGTCCCTTGAAGTCTTAAAAGCAAACAATAGTTTAGTTTAACTAGTAGAAAGGGTATAGTAGCCGTTGTTGTTGTTGTTATGTGCCCTCAAGTCGGACCCAATCCATAGCCACCCCTCCTTGAGTTTCTGAGGCGGTATCACTGCAGAAGTAGATCGCAGCGCCTAAGGCATTTGACTGCTAACCACATTCTGGTGGTTCAAGCCCACCAGCCACTCCTTGGAAGGTTGGGCAATCACTTCCGTAGTGATACCACCTCGAAAACCCAAGGAGGGGTTGCTGTGAGTCAGGGCTGACTTGACGGCACATAACAACAGAAACAGTAGAAAGGGTCTACCTTGAGCATTATGCTCTTTTAAGATCTATCTCTATGAGAACCTTAGGGAGCAGTGAGCTTATGTTAATGGGGGAGGAATAACTCAGAAAAGGAGGGTGAGAATGGTTGCACAACTTGAAGAGTGTAGCTGAATTACACATGTAGAAGCCTATTGCTAAAAAAGGGCAGGGAGACCACATCTTCTGACCTCTTCTAACCCCACAAGAAGAAGACAGAATCACTATCAGTAACCTAAGGCCTATTCCTGCAAGGCCAGACATGCTGCCTCCCTCCAGCCCTTTCACCAACCGTTCCTCCCAAAGCACCTACCACCTCTCTCCTGGGTCCGATAATTCGCTGCAGTGGCCACACAGAACTCATAGATTACAGGGTTTATTAGGGAAGCACCAGGCTACAATTCAAGTTTGGGAAAAACATTCAATCTCTCTCCCAGCCCACAGTCTCTCTCCTAACAGTCTCTCACAGTGTCTCTCCTAGCAGTGCATATCCCTCGGTGTCTCACTCAGCAATGTGTGTCTCTTGTGTCTCTTTCCCAGCAGTGCATGTCTCTTTCAGGAGCATGCGTCTCTTTCAGCAGCATGTCTTCCTCAACCAGCAGTCAGAGAGAGACCTCCTCTGCCTCTAGGAGGCCTCCTTTTGAGCCTGGCAGAGTGACCAAACTAACCAATCATAACATCAGAATTCTAAGCACCTGAGAGAGAGCAGGAACCTCCTAGAACATTGCTTTGTGTTGCATCCAACAGAAATACCCCAGGTGGATAACTTTTACAATCAGGAGCTCCTCAGTTGCTCACAGTAAATTCCACCACAGAGTTTACAAAGACTTATGGC